GGGCTGCGGGGGTTTCGGGAGGCGAAGCCCCCGTCTTTAAAAAATATTGCTAAAATATTTTTGAAATAATAGTATGTTTTGACATACCGACATACGAAAAAAATATAATATAAAGCGAATCGACCAAACAGCGTGTTGCACGGTAACTTCGACAGAGATATCGGCAAGAAGTCACGTTAGGAAACGGATTTTACTATGATTTACTTTATATCATTATACAACTCCGGGAAAGTCGTGAAATCCCCCTAAAAAAATTGACCCTTTCATGAAACGGTAAAAGAATCGGCAAGTTTGAGATGTGTGGTTCCCATAATGAACTATAGAATAAAAAATTTATTATACGTAATAATCTTAGCGAAATAAACATTCTTAAATATTAGATTTGTTTCAGTGTTTAATGAACTCAACATTATGGCATTAGTAAGGAAAATTATTTATCCGCTGGTGGTACAATATGTATGCAATAACCAGAAGTCATGAACCATCAACCTTGTGGTATCTGCATGCACGATAACCAGACCTTTATGTATTCGCTTCTTAATCTTATTTTACATTCATATAAATGTCAAATGTCAAATGAAAAATACAGTGTACGTACGGTTTCCTTAGACAGATAGCCAAAATCATGAACTTATAATTATAAAATATAAAATTAGTGAAAATATTTATAATTATTAAAGATACTTAAATGATCACTATAATAATTACTAAGTAGGTCTGTCTCTAATATACAAAACTAATAACCCATATAGCTTCTTTCATACTGGAATAATCGGCCTATCAAAGGCTTAAATGAAAAAAACGCCAGTACTTACTCGTGACACAGTGTCAACAGTTTGCTCTAGATAGCAGTAACTAAGCAGAGCGGAAGTATAAATCAGTATTGTAATCAGTTCACTCGACGAACAGTCACCGAACTTTCGACCATACAGAAATATTTTGCTGGACCGTCCGATGAAACAATATTGATAAACTAACACAGTGTGTGCTTTCAAACCGAATTCTTTATATAAGTAAAACTAAAAAAAAAGTTACGAAAAAATTGTGAAGCAAATCAACTAAACTTTTCCCTTCAGATATCAATTTTAGCAAAAAGTAGAATCCAATGAACTGAGTATCATCCTATCAGTTTGTAAAAACAAATCAATTAGTTGACTTAGTAATTTATTCCTTGTTCAAATTGTAAAACACAAACTTATTAAAAAAAACAACTGTGGTTTTTCTTCTCATATAAAAATCAGTAACTTTTTAGAACAATTTGTTCATTTCAAACTCGTGAAAATTGCCACATACATTCCAGGAATATCTCTACATTATTTCAGGAATTTATAAAAGAAATCAGATATACAAATGATTACAAGAGATTTATTGGGACAAAGCGTTTCCTGCTTTATCTTTTACTTTTCTCTTCCAGAGAACTGTATAAATGAAATTGGTGGTGCTGGAGCATTTACAACTGGGATTTAGTGTTTTTACCAGAATCCCTTCGTAGCTGACGCCTTATCTCGCCCTTCTACCAATTCGATCTCCCAATACGAAATGGTTAAAATGTTGTACAGATCAATGCACGTCGAATGAACTTCTCCATCGTAAAATTGTACATCGTGTTCAATGATTTGAAAAAAAGGATCCTGCGACGGGACAATGAAACCTGACATCTTCTTAAAGAGGAAAATTTCATTCACACAAAACACAAGGAACATAGTATAACAACAAATAAATGGATAATTAATTATTTTAATTTTTAATGCATACGTCAAAAACAAAAGTGCACATTTGTGCATGAAAAATGGACTCTGATTTATCTTACAATCCGCAATATTTAATTACTTATTTATGGTATCTGTGATATTCTTCATTATTGATCAATTTTACCATCGGTAATAACCTTGTTCCACCAGGAAGCAGACTTCTTCCAGGTTCGGGGTCTTTCTGGGTCGTTGAAGTCAACGGACACGATACCAAAGCGGGCACTGAAAATTAAACCACAAAAATGGTTTTATAGTAATTCAATACTTATTACTAGACTGCAGGTTTGTATACACAAGAAAACTTTAGTAGTACTAATGTAAAGAATGTTATCTAAATAAAAATGAATTTCATCTTTTAGGCACTGTAATCCAGGTATATGTGTTATGGTCGATCCTCACAGAGCGTGCAATGCGATGCGATGCGCTGCGTTTCCGTATTTTTCGAGTTTTCGACCGGGTCTGCCAGTGCTGTAGGCTACCCTAAAGCATATACTGAAAGCATGTAAAAGTCGGAGACTTCGGAGGGCACCAGTGTTAGCTAGCCGAGAATCGGTAGCTCGAGGACCAAAAGTAGGGGTCAAATACCCGCTGTCCACTTACACGTAGACGAAAAGGTCGATGCGATTCACTTACACATAGACGAAAAGAAACGCATGCAATTTTTCCGAAAGTGTTCTCGCCAAGAAATCCCGAGGATTTCATCGCAGAGGCCATAAAATCGACCTTTTCGTCTATGTGTAAGTGAACAGCGGGCGGTCTGACCCGTACTTTGGGTCCTCGAGTTACGGATTCTCGGCTAACTATTACGGGGGCCCTCCGAAGTCTCCGACGTTTACATGCTTTTAGTATATGCTGTAGGGTACAGTCTACGGCACTGGTAAACCCGGCCGTAGGCTCGAAAAATACGGAAACGCAGCGCATCGCATCGCATCGCACGCTCTGTGAGGATCGACCATAAATCGTATGTCGTTGTTCTGCGATGTTATACC